ACATCCAATGTAAGAATAAAGGAAAGAGCACCGTTAGACCATACTTAGAAGACTGTGTGCAGTTCTGCTCACCTTATAAGAAAGAATAAAATGGTAATTTGTCACTTTTTTTAACAAAAGTGTTTCAATCGCCACACTCCAGTGCCTGTTGGTGCAGAGATGATTTTTGAAGATCACACTAGAACTGTGATTATGTGTAAAAGGATTGGCAGACTATGTCTGTTGAGAAGAGGAGACTGAGGGGATGATCTAATTGAGATCTTTTAAATGATTAAAGGTTTTAATCGAGTGGATACAGAGAATGTTTCCTCTTGTGGGGGAAGAGCAGAACTAGGGACTCCACAAAAACATAATCACGAAGAAACCCAACAGGGAATTCGGAGGAAACTTGTTTATCTAAAGGGTGGTGAAAATGTGGAACTCTGCACTACAGGTTTAGATTTAAGGAAAGATGGGAAAAGGCTTGACTGGAACATGGACTGGTTGGGCCAAATGACCTGTCCCTGTGCTTTATATAAGATGGTAATATTTTCCATTTCAGTGTACCCAGCCTCCCAATTGAAATTGTTCTTACCAAACTTTTACCAATTTTTGTTGTGGCCCTTAGCCATTTGGGATTATGTCAAAAAAACAAATCTATCTTGTGTCAGAGTTTTCTGGAGGAATACCAATAGTTGTCCATCTATGCAAGTTTTAACCCCTGTCCTGTGAAAGGACAGTGTTTACAATTGTCTGGCCTGTGTCTTGAAATATATTTGTCCCTTTATGTTTTTATTTGCAGAATCTGTTAAAATGTAACCCAGTGCAAAGGATTTCAGCTGAGGAAGCCTTGCAGCATCCCTATTTTGCAGATTTCTGCCCCCCTTAAGGGGAAGGTGAGAGATATGGAGCTGCCTAAGTCAACTACCCCATCTTTAGATGTCAGTCGGCTGGAACCAACCACAACTCCTGCTGCCTGTACCAACCAAGTGGACGGACAGATGGGGCTTCTGAGAATGAGTGTTCTTTCTAGAAGGGTTTTTGTTAGCATTCCATTACATTTAATTGGAGAGAAAGCACTTTTTGTTTGTAAGGAAATTGTGTGAAACCTGTTTGGTTAACTGTTTGTTGTCTATGTGTGTGTGAGTCATTAATCACGTGTCAGTGAGCGTTGTCTTCTTGTATGTCCTCCTGTATCTGGCCTGAGTGTATGTCATTATTTCATGTCTGCATATGCCACATAGGTTAGTGTACAATTGTTGTCATCTGTATAATTGGGTATGAACAGGATGTAAACCCCTGTCTGTCTGCTCTCGCTTCTGTATTATTGTGTGCTGCTGTCCCTGCTATCATGAATGTGTCATTGAATATGCTTCTGTGTATATGTATGTTAACATGGATCTTGTAGCTGTGTAATTGTGTGATTAGACAGTTTTATTAAGCAAAAACTATCGAGTACAGTGTTAGTGTGGAGACACCACAGAATTTCTGCTGAACACCGTTTTCTGGAAGCTGTTTTTTGGCATTCTTTTCAATTTATCATGAGGGAGCTTTGTTTTGGGAAAGAAATGTTGTGAAACTTGAAAGTTTGACTGTTTGCTTTGTACTCCTGTATTCTACCACCTAGTCCGTGTTCTCAGACCATGCATATTTTTTAGTTATCGCATAGGTGTATTATCTGCTCTTTCATCTGTTATAATGTGTGACTTCAGATGTTGCACACATGCTAATGTAGTTCATTTTTGAGCGTTCACATGTCCTGATATGTATTCGTGTTGAGGGTGTTTTTGTGTCTGCTAGCATGTGTGCTCTTGAGTGCAAATCAACATGTACTGTTATATGTTCTTGTGCCCATAATGGTAAGTGTAGTCTCATATTGAAGTCTACGTTGACGTGTGGTGTTGAGTGCCCGTCTTGAAGCATGTACATCATGTCTCCTCTGACACGTGTGCTCTCATGCCCATGTTAACGTGTGTGTTAGAAAGTGTGCTGTGTGTTTATTAAGCACTTTTCTTTGCCAAACGTTTCTGTCACTGAGTAAAGTGTTTCTGTAGAGCCCAAAGTCCAGAGGTCACAGATGTAGCTCCCACCCTATATGATGACTGTATCCACAATCTGATTATACATCCTTTCCCTGTAGAATATATGCCAAGAGCCCTCGTAAACAAGGAGCTGTCACTTCCTATTTTGATAGTGTGGTGTTGCTTAGGAGCCCGTTGAAGCACTTGTTATAATTAGGTCACATGGTAGATACAAACCCTTTTGTGTTTGTTTTATCTATGTATGGTACAAAAATAATCATTCAGTCTGTGCATCAACAGATTGACTACACATCAGATAAACTGTAGTAACAGAAAATCAAGAGGGTAGATCTTGCTGGATTATAAAACTTTATACTTAAATGCAAAACAATTAAGAATAAAGAACATTTTGCTAACTCTTGTCATGCTAAAGCTACGTTTCATCCAAAATAGGCAGAGTCTCTCTCCTGAAAGGTTTTCAGATGTTTGGAATGTTGCAGTTAGACTCTGTATTAGCAGTTCATGATTACAAAGAGAATTGTACATAAGGCTACCGCCTAATGCTGGGATAAAATCTCACCCTGAGAGACTAGTGAGGTTTCTGTGATGGTACAGTAACGTAACCCTTTAGCCAGATAATCAGTCGAAAGTGATTCTGTCATCATGAACTTGATGAACATCCTTCATTAAAGTGAGACTGTGCCACTAACAGTAGTTGGATGTTTGTACTTGTGGAGATTGTAACTAAGGGCTCAATAGAAGGAAGACATCATTGTGTGGTCTGCCTGAAGACAGATTTTGGCTTTTAGTCTTCTCTATCCTGTGTCATTTTTTTGATTGTCTAAAAGCTTCCTTAAATTTTCAAGTCATTGATGATTCCTTTCTCTTTTACTTTGAAATATTTACAGCCAATGAACTACATTTGATAGGGAAACACAAAAGACATTCTTGTACAAGCCAGCAAAATCAAACAGCAATAATCAGGTACTCTGTTTTTGTGATGTTGATTGAAAGATAAATATTGATTAGAACATCAGGAGCAGCCACTTTTTTGTTTATAAAGGTGCCATGGGATCTTTTGCATCTACCAGCAGGATAAATAGGGCTTGGTTTAATGACCTGTCCTGAAAGATGCCATCTTTGACAGTGCAGCGTTCCCTTGATGTGACACTGAGCAGCAGCCAGGATTGTGGGCTCAAGTTTCTGGATTTTATGATTTCAAGATGAAAAGGCAAACCCCTAGTAAGAGATACCAAAACTAAATGACCCATCTGGAGAACTGATCTGCAATCTCTGAAATCAACGTCATGCTCTCATAACTCTGTTAATGAGGCCATGAGGGGAGCAGAGCTGTGGGTTGATCGGCCTCCTCTATTGTAATGTCTGCCTCAGTTGCTAAATGCAGTTTGAAATTGAATTGTGTTGGTCAAATTCTCGCCAACCTGTGTCAAACTGACTGATCACAGGTCCTCATCACCATGCAGGTTGTGATGAACCAGGGAGGGACACTTGCCAGCCCACACGCTGATCCAGCTCTGCAGTAAACTGAAGCAAAAATCAAGCACTTGCTGAAATGTCAGCCAAAACCAAAAAAACTAGCTACAGGAAGAAGGGGTTATTTCTTCATCCAGCGTAGTGAACCTGTGCAATTATCTGATTAGAAAGTAGTTGAGGCCAAAACATTGAATGCTTTCAAGGAGTTAGATAATTCTTAGGGGCTAAAGGCATAAAAGGCTACAGGGAGAAAGGGAACAGGGTACTGGTTGGATTATCAGTTATGATCATATTGAATGATGGAGCAATCATGAAAGGATAAACCCTACTCCTGTTTCCATATTTCTATAACATAGCATCATTACTGTTATAGGGAATTAGTTGTTGAGGAAAGGAAAGGAGCTACATTTGCAGCCCTTGTTCCCATTCTTGGAAAGGGTGCGGTGGTGAGTTATCAGAATGGTACGTAAAGGACTTGAGAGATTGGAGAAGCTGGGATTGTTTTCATTGGAGCAGAAAATTTAAGGGGAGATATAACGTATTCTCAAAATTACGAGGTTTGTTTCTTGTGGCAGGTCAGCAACTGATGTGCAGAGATGTTGGCCTAGTGGTATTATCATCTAGACTATTAATCCAGAGACTATTCTGGGTTCTAATCCAGAGACAATTCTGGGTTCAAATCCCTCTGTAGCAAATGGTGGGATTTGAATTCAATAAAAATCTGGAATTAAGAGTCTAACGATGAAAATGAAATAGTTGCCAGTTGTTATAAAAACCCATCTGGCTCAGTATTGCCTTTTAGCGACAGAAATCTGCTACCTTTACCTGGTCTCGTCTACATGTGACTCCAGACCAACAGCTATGTGGCTGATGCTTTAACTGCCCTCTGAATTCGGAATTGTCAATAAATGCTAGCCTAGCCACTGACCTTCATCCTGTGAACGAATTAAAAAGAAAATATATTTTGATGGAAGAAGCTGCTTGAAAGGATGGTGGAAACGAATTCAATAGTTGTCACAAGGGAATAAGATAAATCATAGAAATCATAGAATCCTTACAGTGTGGAAACAGGCCCTACGACCCAACAGGTCCACACCGACCTCAGAGCATCCCACCCAGACCGATTCCCCTATAACCCACCTAATCTATACATCCCTGAACACTATGGGCAATTTAGCATGGCCAATCCACCTAGCCTGCACATCTTTGGACTGTGGGGGGATTCCAGAGCATCTGGAGGAAACCCACGCAGACACGGGGAGAATGTCTAAACTCCACACAGACGGTTGCCCAAGGGTGGAATTGATTCTGGGTTCCAGACGCTGTGAGGCAGCAGTGCTAATGTTCGGGAAGAATGTTTGAACAGCCCTGCGAAAAGAACGGGCAACATTTGGGATTAATTGGCTATCTGTTTCAAAGAGCTGCTACAGAAACAGTGGGCTGAGTGGCCTCTTGCTGTGAGTTATTATCATTGCATTTACTAAAAGGAGACAGCTTCCAGACAAATTGAAAGGCAGTAACAATTTTAATTCAAAGAGCACAAAGATTGCAGATATTTAGAAAATACTGTCACAGGTTTCACATTAATACGCTGCCTGAAATTCTATCCTTGTTTTGAAAGGCCATTTACCTATTTTTATTCAGTTATACTTTTCACTGAAAGTGAGTTTCAAGGACAGAGGCTGCCTCAGTATAAACAGAATATGGAGAGAACCTGCTTAGTGGATCCTTCAGTCATTGGTGAGCTAAGGCTACTGACTTTGCACACTGGGCCAGCCTGACATCAAAGAGGAAAGTACCGCACGTATTAGCAATAGTAAGCATGGCTGAATTGCTAGTGCTGCAGCCTACACACTGGGTACTGGATGATGCAGTGGAGTTGGAGGTGGCAGAGCGAGTGAGACTAACGCTGAAATATGCCACAATACATCAGCACTTGGCTGCTGCCAACTCTGTTGCATAACAGGGATATGGGAATCACTACCACAGACTTGGTGTAATTGAGTTGGTGACAGGACAGGCACAACTGTTGATTAGAGAACAAGAAACAGCATGCAGTGAAATCATATAGGGACTTAATAAGATTTTGCTGCCTTTTATGTGTGGTAAACCTGCCAGCCAGACCCAAAATACATAACTATCTATTTGAAGCTGAACACAGGTAAAATTTATCCAGACTGACAATTGTGCCTGGGACATACTTTACACAACACAAAGTACAGTGAAACCAAAATCGGTTTTGATTGTTAAAAAAAAACAAGGGGAAGTGATCTGCTGAGGTCATGCTCTCTAGTCTGTAGGGAGGTACGGAGAATGACGGCTAGTAAGGAGATGGAGAAAATCCGCCGAAGTGCTCACCCTTGGATAGCCCCTTAGAGGGAATGTGCGGTTTTGATGCCTACTCGTGTCGAATAGACCACTTTGATACATCAGAGAAAGTGTCTACCAAGCATCCGTCAGCATCACTGTGGATGGAATGGAACTGGGTTGTTACATGCTTTCTACATTTAAAGCTTAAGTTACAACAGAGTGAGGGTTGTAGGGTCAAATTAGAGAGAAGCTTCTCAGTGTGCTTTCCCAGGAACATTCCAGCTCAGGGAAGCTCTGTATATCACACTTTGAGAGACTAAAATTTTTAATATTACTCATTCAAGGTCGGAGAATTGAATAAAAGCAATAGAAATGATCACTGATCTCATAGATGGATGGGGTTTCAGGGAGGAGGTTAGTGGCTGCTTGAAAACATTGTAAAGATAGAACAAAAATTGAGTGCAGCTTAAAGGATTATATAAAATCATTGGGCAGGAGCCTAAAGCTGCTCAATCCCGACTTCCAAACAGCTGGAGGAGAAACATAAAGATGTAGATGATGTCTGTGTACAGACAGAGTGCTCCAAACACATGTTCTTCCGGACTCAGAGAGTAGCGCTTGTTCCCCAGGAGAAGCTGTGTATCATAAGCCAGGAACTGTGACAGAAATGTAGGAAGGTAATCATAAAGTACAACAAAAAGAATGTAATGTCCATTAACACAACTTACACAAAAAAGTCTCAAAATCCTTATTGAAAAGGCAGGCTATTGTGCGAATTCTCCATTTACCATAGAGTCATACTGCAAGGAAACAGACCCTTCCGTCCAACCAGTCCATTTCGAATAGAATCCCAAACTAAACTAGTCCCACATACCTGCTCCTGGCCTATATCCCTCCACACATTTCTTCAGGTAGTTCATTCCACGTGTGAACCACATTCTGTAAAAAAATTACCATTTTTAAAAAATCTCTCCTCTCACCTTAAAAATGTGCCCCCTAGTCTTGAAATTCCCCATCCTAGCAAAAAGATAACTACCATGAAACTCTATCTGTACCTTATAAACTTCTATCAGGTTGTCTCTCAACCTCCTACACTCCAGTGAAAAACGTCCCAGCTTATCCAGCCTTCCTTTATAACTCAAACCTTCTATACCCGGCAACATGCTTGTAAATCTCTTCTGAACTCTCTCCAGCTTAATAATATCCTTCCTATAACTGGGACCGACCAGAACTGGACACACTATTCCAGAAGAGGCCTCACCAATGACCCATAGAACCTCAACTTGACTTCCTAACTACTATACTCATAGGACTGAGCAATGAAGGCAAGTGTGCCAAATGCCTTTTGAACCACCCTGTCTATATGTGATGCAAACTTCAAAGAATTATGTACCCGCACTGCTCGGTCCCTGTTCTACACAGTACCCAAGGCCCTACCATTAATTGTATAAGCCCTACCCCTTTTGTACCAAAATGCAATACCTAATATTTATTCAGATTGAACTTCATCTGGCATTTTTCAGCCCATTGACCCATTTGATCAAGATCCCTTTGTAATCTTAGAAAACTTTCTTCACTATCTACTGTGCTACCAATTTTGGTATTGTCTATAAACGTACTAACCAGAAAAACTATAGACCACCACATCTCATAACATAATCACTGCACCTAAGTATTTCTTAATCTAAATCCCAAGAAGGGATTTATGTCCAGTCCAAGTGCTCACAACTTAAACCATGAGATACAAGAGCAGAATTAGGCCATTAAGTGCATCAAATCTGCTCTGCAATTCGATTATGGATGACATTTGTCAACCCCATTCTCCTGCTTTCTCCTGTAACCTTTGATCCTCTCACTAATCAAGAACCTATCTATGTCTGGCTTAAAGACACTTAATGACTTGGCCTCCACAGCGTTCTGTGGCAATGTCCACGTCCACACTATTAAGGCCTCTCAGTATTCTGTATGTTTCACCGAGATTTCTCCCTCAACTTCTAAACTGCATAGAATACAGACCCAAGAAATTCAACCTTTCCTCATGTGGCAAGCCCTTCATCCCTGGGATCAGTCCTGTGAACCTCCTTTGGACCCTTCCAGGGCCAGCACATTCTTCTTTAAATACGTGCCCAAAACTCCTCTCAATATGCCAAATGTGGTCTTACCAGAGCCTTGTATAGCCTCAGCTCTTGTATTCTAGCCCTCTTGAAATGAATGCCAACATTGCATTTGCCTTCCTAACTGCCAATTGATCCTGCATGTTAACCTTAAGAGAATTTCAAATTTCTGAAGCCTTTCCTCATTTAGAAAATAGTCTAAGCCTCTATTCTTCTTACCAAACTGCATAACCTCACACTTCCCCATATTGTATTCCATTTGCTACTCCTTTGCCCATTCTCCTAGCCTGTCCAAGTCTTCTGCAGCCTCCCTGCCTCTTTAACACTACCTGTCCTCCACCTATCTTTGTATCATCTGCAAACTTAGCAACAATGCCCTCAGTTCTTTCATTCAGATCATTAATGTATAACATAAATAGTTGTTGTCCCAGCACTGACCCCTGTAGAACTCCGCTAGTCACTGGCTGCCATCCTGAGAAAAACCCTTTTGTTCCCCATTCTGCCTTCAGCCAGTCAGCTAATCCTCTCTTCATGCCAGTACCTTGCCCATAATGCCATGGGCTCCTATCTTATTTCACAGTCTCCAGTGTAGCACCTTGCTAAAGACCTTCTGGAAATCCAAATAGATCACATGCACTGCCTCCTTTGTCAAACTTCCTCAGTACCTCAATTCTAGCAGATTTTTCAGATATGATCTCTCTTTGATGAAGTTGTTCTGACTCAGCCCTAATCAACCATACACTTCCTAGTCTTCGGAAAGATAGACTTCCTGATATCTGATGTCGAAGAGTGCATTAATTTTCACTAGTCTGAACCCCTCCTGTTTAGTAGCCAAGGTTGATTTTTCATGTCATTCACAGAGAAAGACTAGAGTTTATGCAGCAATATCTGACCACAGGAAGCCCCTATTACTTCACAATAGATTAAGGCCCAAATTTTCAGATGGCCAGAACTTTGGTTAGGTCACACTTGGAATATTCCATACAGTCTGGTCACCACACTATATGAAGGATGTGGATACTTCAGAGACAGTACAGAAAACATTTACCAGGATGTTGCCTGGTATGGGGGATTTTAGCTATGAAGAAAGTTTGGATACACTAGGTTTTATTTTCCCTGGAACACAGGAGGTTGAGGAGCGACCTGATACAAGTTTAAAAGATTGTGAATAGCATGGATAGAGTCAAAAGTATGAGGCTTTTTCCCAAGGTGGAGAGGTTAATTGCTAGGGGACATACGTTCAAGGTGGGGTTGAGGGAGTTTAAAAGAGGTGTGCGAGGCAGGATTTTCATACAAAGGGTGGTGAGTGCCTGGAATCTGCTGCTAGAGGTGGTGGTGGGAGCAGACACAGCAGCAGCGTTCAAGAAGCACCTGGACGAATACATGAATAGGAAGGGAATAGAGGGATGCAGATCCTGTAAGTGAGACAGTTTTAGTATGGAAGGGCAAAATGTGTCAACACAGGCTTGGAGGGCCAAAGGGCCTGTTCCTCTGGTTTACTGTTCTTTGTTCAGTTGTTCTTCCAGCATGGATGGGAGTTTTGCTTGGGGGCTGTGCAGACTGAAGGAATTGTCTTGGAAATTGACAGTTCAGTTGGGGAATCTCTGCATACTTGGAACCCTCTGTGAGTATCTATTTAATTTGGAGGATTCCACAGCAGTTGGTTAAGTAATTATTAAGAAAATTTCAACTATTAAATACCCAACATCCTATAACTATTAAACTGCGACCATAAATCCCTATCAACATTTCCCACTAACTCCCACTAAGGATGCAGCCAGTGATAGGTTGGGGAGTTGATAAGTGGAGGTGGGGGCAGAGCCAGTGGATGTGGTTTACTTGGATTTTCAGAAGGCTTTCAATGAGGTCCCCAAAAGTTTAGCGTGCAACATTAAACCGCATGGGACTGGGACAATCCTCTGAGATGGTTTGGAAACAGGTTGGCAAACAAGAAACAAAGAGTAGGAATAAACAGTCCTTTTTCCAAGTGACTAGTGGGCTACCACAGGGATCAGTGTTTAGACACCAGCTATTACAAAATACAGCAATGATGAAGATGAGGAAACTACCCAACATATCTCCACGTTTGATGACACTAAGCTGGTCGGGAGGGTGAACTGTGACAAGAATGTAGAGAAGCTTCAGTGTGATTTGGGAAGTTGAGTGAATGGTAGATGCAGTATAACGTGGATAAATATGAGGTTATCCATTTTGGTAGCACATAGAGAGAGGAGGTTATTATCTGAATGACCATAGATTGGGAAATGGGGACGTGCAATGAGATCTGGATATCCTCATACGCCACTCACTGAATGTAAGCACACAGCTGCTGTAGGTAGTGAAGGTGGCAAATGGTATGTAGGCCTTCATATCAAGAGATTCAAGTTCAGGTGCAGGGAAGTCTTGCTGTAATTGTACAGGCCTTAGTAAGATCACAACTGGAGTACTGTGTGCAGTTTTCATCTGTGGAAGGGTGTTCTGGCTATGAATGGAATGCAGCAAAGGTTTACCAAAGGATACAAGGTAGAACTTTTACAGCTGAGGAGAAATCTCTTCACCCAGAGAGTGGTGAGCTTGTGGAATTCTTCACTACAGGAAACTGCTGAGGCCCAAACAATGAAGACTTTCAAGGAAGATGTAATATAATTCTTAGGGCTAAAGGAATCAAAGGGTATGGGGAGAAAGTGGGAAAAGGGTTTGAGTTGGATGATCAGCCATGATCATACTGAATAATGGCACAGGTTCAACAAGCTGAATGGTTTACTTCTGCTCCAATATTCTGTGTTTCTACGATTCTCACATTTTCAGACTCTCAAACAACTTACCCTTCCCCGGGATCCGATGTTCCCATCCACTGGACCGATATACTCCTTCTGTGCCTGAGACGCAATAATCCATACCCTAACCAACCAATATTATCAAAGATTATCCCTCCTTCCACTACTATGTACCTGACCCCCAACACCAGTGTGGAATGGCAATGTATTTCCATCCTGTGGCCCTTCTGAATTCTGATTCTGCTATTTATATGAACATGAGGGGAGGTGAGAGTGACAGCCCTTGACATCAAAGCTGCATTTGACAGAGTGTGGCATTACAGAACCCTAGCAAAACTGAAATCAATGGGTATCGGGAGCAAATTTTCCAATGGTTGGACTCCGAGATGGTGCTGGAGCAAGACGACACTTTGCGAGGTGTCCTATACAGATCATCCCTTCATCTTTTATAACTGATCTACTCTTTTCAATCTCAATTGTAAGTCTGCAGAATTACTAACAATGTTTTCTTAAGTCTACATACTGGTCTGGCGATTTTACTACCTCCAAAAACAACCAATGGGATCTGACCTTACAAAGATCAGGGCCTCCTGGAGAGCCCGACTGCATGAACCAACAGAGCCCGACTGCTGATGCTGGAACCAGGACCACAACAATGAAGTGACCAGCCACTTAGCAGCTTCGCAAAGGCCTGACCTGGATGCTGATCGATGAACTGACGCTGTGGAGTGGATCCGATGTCTTTCCGGACCACATGCAGATCTG